ATTTTGAAATAGAAATATTGCGATGTTTATTTATTTTTAGTCTTTTAAATTCCGTATTCAATTATTTGCCCGGACTAATATAATAATCAACAATTATTTACCCGGACTAATATAATAGTCGTGTATGACGATTATTATGTTAATAAATAAAAGGAAAAAAGAGCTTCACGATGTTATACAGTGTAACATTGTGTGTAATTGTTTTTTTGCAGTGAAGAATTAACATCGGTGCACGTTTTTCTTACAACGTTTGGCCAACATCGTCAGTATAACGTTGACCTATGTTTCATTTATGCCATTATTCCAACGTCTAAGCAACGATAAAAAGGACATTGAATCAACGTCATTTTAGACAAAACATAACGTTTTTTATATATATTCTTGTGGCACACCGCTTGAGGCTGTTTTTCAATTGGATTTATTGTTACCAATGGTTACCCTTGTTGTAGACGTTTAGTTAGCAAGCTCTCGATCCATTTGTGCAAGTTGTGGGACATTCCGTAATATTTTACCTTGTGTAGCAGAGTCATTGTAGAACTTTGTTAATGGGTTTATTTTTGGTTAGGTGGTCAGTAATGAGTCTATGTGCAAGTCTTTTTATTACAAGATTTTCCATTGGAAGAGACAAAAGTGCGTGAGATAAGTCGATAGATGAGGAATTCAACTTGCAGCCTTTTTTGAAGATAGGAGTGATTTTGGCTTTTTTCCATTAAGACGGTGCTTTGTTTGCTTTAAGCGAATTAGAGAATACAATGCCTAGTGGGATATCAAAACCTGAAGCACAGTATTTTAGGACCTGTGGATAAATGCCTCAATACAAAAAAAGTTATAACTTAAAATAAGTTGTTTAAAAAAAAAAATACTTCATAACATCACTGGCGTGGTGGTACCGCTTATAAGCCAATGACAATCATGCATGAAGAGTTTACTGGGAAATAAAGTTAAACTCCCTCAAAATGATGGGGTTATAAATGTATACATAATTTAGCGCAACTCAATTATTATATATCAAATGAAAGAATATTGACTAGGAAGTTCAAGTCTAATTGTCCATTGTCGCTTATCTGACCAAAGCCGTCAAAGAACCATGGATCTCTTGGTTCTGAGTCAGAACTCAAACCACTGCGCCACGGCTGTCTAAAAAAAAAATATGAAACGTTAATACCTTAGAAGAGTTTTATTATTCTCCATAGGTTTGTTCACTTTATGTTACATCTTTAACATATATCATGTGTTAACTTTTCAATTTTTTCACTTGTTTTAACAACTTTTCAATTTTTTTACTTGTTATGTATAAGGTAAGCTGAACATATGAAGTTTTCTTTTTAATTCAGTCATGTATGAATGGCTCAATAAATGTATGAATGAACAATTGACAAATTATTATGACTCATTATTAAAATACAAATTTTTAATTTTTTTTCATCTAGATAACTGAAGTTTTCGTTACACAAACTTTAAATTTTTTTCACCTACATTACTGAATTTTTTGTTAGCAGAATAACATTAAAACTTTTATAGTTTCCGTTTCGCAATTTTGAATTAAAACAATTATTTCCTTGAAGCTGCATTTATCTATTTCCTCTCTAAGGAATATCATGTCAATTATTTATTGAATAGCTCAATAAAAAAATTGACTCGTTTATTTTCACCGTGTAACAAAAACAACGTGTAACAAAAAAAAATTATAATAATAAAAAAAGAATTTGGAAACATTAAAATTAAATAACAATCATGAACAAAAAAAAATAAGTTACTCTTATTCATTGTTAAGTCAAAAAATCTAAACTGTCATCATCTTTTTGTATTTTTTAATGATTTTTAAGATATTGTTCAATTCAGTTAATATTAAATACTAAATCCTTTAAGTTAATATTTAATCCTGTTGCTTTAAAAGATAGAACAAATAAGAAATAATGGCTGATAAAATGAATAAATATATTTTAAAATGAGTAATTATTTATGCAATACTAACTGTTATATGATATGTGAATTTGTTTTTGAGATATTCGAACTTTAAGACGCCACCTCATTTTGCAGTAAGGAAACGTGAAATCCCCCTTCCGCCCCCCCCCCCCCCCGCCCCCATATACCCCGTTAAATCATTTATCCTTCTTCAGAAATACTTATGTTAGATAGGACAATTAATCGTAAAATTGTGTTAATGTAAATAAGAACACCATATTATTTACATATATATGAGCAGCCGTAGTGCAGTGGTTAGAGTTCTGACTCTGAACCATAAGGTTTCAGGTTTGACGACAGCTCTTACCCAGTAAGCGACATTAGTTTTACGTGCAAGCGGTATCATATTAAAACCATCGAGGTTGAAGCTTACCTCTAATGTAGCATCATCAGAGCTACGTCACCAAATTTCTGTTACACACATGCTATAATGAAAATACTTGTAAAAAATACTTAATTTTTTTCTTTTTTTTTATATATTTTTATAACTAATATAGAAAAAATAAACATAAAATACTATTGCACTTCGATAATATAAATAAAACACACTTATATTCAAAAAATAATTAGAAAATACTGTCTAGATGACATCATTTGTTTATAATTTTGTTTAAGCTTTTATTTATAGTTGATATCATGCAGTAGTTTGAAAAATAAACTAGTCAGTATCAAGACAATATCAAGACAAACTGTATAAACAATTCACGCCTCATTCCTTACCAATGATGCATAGCCGGCTTTAAACCACGGAGTTTTAGTTCTGAGTCAATAACTCTAAGCACTATATTAAAAAATGGTTTAATTTTTTAATATTGTGGTTAATTTCATAAGTGAATTTAATAAGTGCGAACTGGCACAAGTTCAAATGGCATAAATGCGAACTGGCATAAGTGCGCCAAAAGAATTTGCAAACATTGGCATATTCATTGCATAAACATCATTAATTCGCACTTATGCCGGTTTGCAATTATTCCAGTTTTTATGATTTGCTTCGCACATATGCCAGTTCGCATTTACGCCAGCTTGCACTTATACCAATGTTTGCAAATTTTTTTGACGCACTTATGCCAATTTGCACATATGCGCAATGGGCCGGATATAAGACATATGGTGTACAAAATTATTTTGATCTTTTTTTTACCAAAATCCTTTTTATGTCCAAAGAATCATTTTGTATTTAGATATAATTACTTTTATTATAAGTTTTAGTTAAAAAGCTGCTAATACTAAAAATATTATTTAACAAACTTTATAAAACTTTAAAAACGCGGATTTATAATTTTTTAATTTTTTTAATCTTAAAATCCTACTTCTTAAAAACGTGGAACTGAATAACAAACTCTACTGTTGGAATAAACTAAAAAAAAAATGAAAATGTATCACTAGGTTTCAAACTGTATTATCGGTATTATTATATAATAGGTTTGAAATATATAGATAAATATATAGAAATATATAGAAAATATAAATAAATATATAGATTTGAAAATCTATTATGGATATTATTATATGTCCATGACGTTTTAAATAAGTCTGTAGATTATTTATCATCTCTATATATAATTATGTATTTTTCTTTTTAATCTATTGGCCACACATTCTGGATGAATAATATTACAACGTTTTTATTATTATAAATTTTAATGAGTTCTAAAGGTACTATGCAAATAATCAACAGGCACTCTTTATTTGTCATTATTTTCATTTTAACTTACCTGTTTGTAAACGCTATATCCTATAGATCCATTATAATGGATCTACAGGATATAATGTTTACAAACAGGTAAGTTAAAATGAAAATAATGACAAATAAAGAGTGCCTATTGATTATTTGATAAGGAATTAACTAAACTGACGTTAGTTCCTTAGCATTGTGATTAGCACAGTAAGTTGTATACTACATAGCTTTTTAAGAGTGTGTTTTAGAAGATCTTATAGCGGTATTTGTACTGAATTGCCATCTATTTAAATGTTCTTGGGATAGCATTTAGCTTTTGACGATCTTATACCATTATATAAAGATTATATGTGGCAATCGTTTTTTTCAGCACATTTTTTGGAGGCTGGTATGTTGAATTTGATATTTTACCATTAATAATTAATGATAAAGTTTCATCAGGTAAATATATCTAAGCAGGTTTAATGGGGTTTTTATTTCAAACTTGAGAAATTTTTGTGCCAGTTTTGTAAAGCTTAAACTCACTTCTTAGTTCTAATTTTGTTGCATGAAAAATTTTATGGCTAAATAAAATATTAATTATAAAATATTAAATATAGCAGTGTTAAGCCTAATTTTTTTGTTCTGTTATTCAAAAGAGCAACATGGTTTCCCAACTTCATTTACTGATGATGTAGCATTTATTGTATAGAGGTGTATTGAAAATCTTGAGCTGGCCAACTTTCATTACTTCTCCCAAAATTTTCAGATAACCAACTGAGGCATAATTAGGCCTCAGTTGGTTATCTCATTTTTTTTTAAATTAACAATCAATAATTTTTTCAAGCATTCATCGAATGGCTCGTATTCAAATCAACAACAATTGTTGTCGATTTGAATACCTTAATATATACAAAATACATACCGGAATAGGGTAGTTATAAAATTGAAAACAGAGTAGGTTGAAAATTTAGTAGGTCAATAATACAGTAGGTCAGTAGGACGATTTAGTATATTGGAAAATTAGTAGTACATGTTCTAATTATGTGTAAATATAAAAATTTAAAATTATCGGTTGAAAATCAAAAACCTTATAACCAAATAATTTACGAAATTTCAGAATTTGGTTGAGGTTTACTGTTAAGTAATTTAAATATTATATACTAATAAGCTCATAAAATTTTAAAAGTTACTGTTTACTAAAGCTATGCATAAAGAATAAAAATTTCATGCTTTTTTTTAAAATTTTTCATTTTACATGAAACCGCAACTGATTTTTGTGGTTTTAAAATATTTTTGTGGTTTTCAAAATTTTAAATGAAAGTTTTACAAATATGTTTTATATATGGTTTTTAATATATTAAATATTTATTTTTAGGTTTTCTCCACCACTGGCCCACTGTGATATGCCTATGCCATTTTTTGTAACGTTTCGCATTTATGCCAGTTTGCACTTATGAAATTCGCACATATTCAGTCTTCCGTATGCGTGTATAATTTCATATAGATTACATTTTTCATTTTAATTGATTGTTTAATTATAAGCATAAGTTCAAATGTTTAATTTTATCAGTAAAAGTAGAACATGATAATGTTCTATTTATCTTTTTTATACACAGGATTTTTAAGTTATTTTTTTTTTAAGAATTTTTATAGTCATAATGTATTTTAGAATAATTTTGTTACGTAAATATGCGACGAAAGTTAAACTACCACCTTTAATGGAAAACATGCACCTGTGGAAGTTTTAGGGAAGTAGAAGGTAACAATATATTGGCGTAAGTGTTAGTTGTTTAATTGTTAAAAATTTTGGATGTCAGATGTCAGTGTAAAATCAAATATTCAACAAGAAGTACTTATGGTAAGTAGTCAGGTATCTTTATCCAGCCGGTAATAATATGAATGAGGGGCTAGTCAAATTATACTCTCCCACAAGTTTAATAAATACAATATATTAAAATAAATAACATTAATTTAATACCGCTCAAAAAAGTTGTTTGCATTATTGATAAAAAAGAAAGCAATCGCTTTGTACCACTGCCGTATTTTTAAAATGACTTTAATCTGATTTTTTCCTCATTTTTAGAGTCGTTAGTTTGAAAAAAAATACACAACCTAAAAAACTGAGGAAGTAGCAGTCATTGACAGCAATTTCTTTAGGTAAACTATTATATGATAGTAGTTGTAATCTTATTAAAGGTGGCAGAAGACATATTGTTAAAGTTAGAATTTTATCATAAAAGCAATCTTCTAATTTAGAACATGGTCAACAAACTCAAACATACAGATTTAACATTTATACTAGATAATAATATGAGCAAGTCTGATTACCAACGTTTGAGAAATAATGATGATTGCAAAGACTATGTTGGACTGTTAGACTGTTGGACTGGACTGTTACTGTTTTTTTTTTTTTCTAAAGAAAAAGACGTTAAAGTATTAGTATACAGGACTGTGCCTAATACAATTACAGAAACAAGTTAATGATACCTTAAATGATCTTCAAAGACTTATTTTAAATTATCTAAATTTCATTAAAAAAGTGAGTTAGATGAACACCCCCCCCCTCACCCTCCCAGATAATATATCCCTGTTATTGTTATTGAGCAGCCGTGGCGCAGTGGTTAGAGTTCTGGCTCAGAACTCAGAGGTCCGTGGTTCGATGCCAGCTCTAGCCCATCAAGCGACATTGGTACGGAAGGAGGCGTGAACTTCCTGTTAAATGCTCACCCGCGGTGCTCTATGATAAGACCGCAAGGACTTCTGGGAGCACCTAAATACATACAAAAAAAAAAAAAAAAGTTATTATATGCTACAGAGACTAAATCGCATTTTTATTCATGTTTGGCAAGTTGTAGAGAAAGCAGTATTGCCTATTGGTATGTTTAGTTAAAATACTTAATAAGCACAAAAAATAGTTTTAAGAAGTTTTGCGAACCATTTTCTAGAAAATATTAGCGTTCCAAAACAAGTGAAGATTTGTTAAACCAATTATTGTGTTCCTTTGAAACTTTAATAAGTAGTTTAGGAACACTTAAATGTCCTATCAAAAAGAACATCCCATCCTACTATTAAATAAAATTCTTTTAAGTGAAGTTTTCATGAGTTACTTATGGAGACTTCCTCCAAGACAGATTTTAAATTACAAATAATTTTATTATTTTTGTGTTAAAATTGGTACGTATTTGTTAGTATTTTCCGTATATTACTTAGCTGAATGTTTCTTGTAAATATATAAATTTATTTGTATTCCTAATTTATTATGCACTTTAGAAAGTATTATCTAAAAACATATTTATTTTTCTAAGGTCGCTGAAGACATGTGAGCTACCAAATACTCAACTTGCTAATAATAAAGAGTGGGGAGAAGTGAGACACGTAAATTTTTATAGAGTAATTGCAATCTTTTTTATTTAATGTATAAACTGAACCAAACAGGTTTTTACGAATAAACCTTCTTTTTAGGCACCGATTCAATTCCTTAGAATTCCATCCAATTATAACTAAGTATATAAATTTTTGCTTTTAGAGAAACCGTGCCATCGGGGTAAAGTGGGACAAGTGTAAGTAGAAGTGAGACAAATAAATTTAAAACAACATTTTAACACAAATTATTAAATAAAAACTGATAAAATCATAAAATCACCTAATCGACATAAAAATGTTTAAGAGCTTTCACCAATCGAAATAATTAAATGGCGACGGGAAGAAGTGGGTATAAATATTTCTTTTTTCTGTCTCACTTCAACCCTAATGTAAACACTTTTTTAAAGTACAATTCAAAAATAGGGCATCAAGCGCACGCAGGGAAACAAAGCAAGTTCTGCTAAATATAGGGGAAGAATTTTTAATGCTTACATCAAATAACAGTATTTAGGCACCACTCCTTATTAGAAATTTCAAGCTTTCCTACTTCTCCCCGTTCTCCCCTACATCTAAGAAATATTTTAAGTTATTAATTTCGTCCAACTTTTAATAATTTTCCTTTTTTCCTCTTGTGAAATTATTTTTTATATTCATCTATCAATAGCCAGTATAATTGAGGCTAGGCTACTAGGGCTCTCATTTTTTAATTATTTGTTATAATCCTTTTTGCAATCCACTAAACTCCACATTAAAAACTTTGATAAACAAGGCCGCTGTACAAGAAATAAGTTACTCGCGGTACTTCCAGCAACACAGTGTGTTTAACTTTTTACATCTCGTTTACAAAGCGAGGACTATATCACTTCATCACTACCAAATTAAAATTAAAAATATTTTTTATAAAACCAAAACAAACAAAAAAAAAGCGGATAAACGTTGTAAACGCGTACGGTCGTGCAAGCCCGCTACAGACAAGGCGCGTTTTAATTACCCTAAATAAAACGTTCTATTATTTCGCTTTTGAAACAATCTTTAGAAATTTAATGATATTTTTAAATGCGAATAAATGCGTATTTGTGATATATATATATATATATATATATATATATATATATATATATATATATATATATATATATATATATATATATATATATATATATATATATATATATATATATATATATATATATATATATATATATATATCTGTGATCTGTGTGTGTAAATAAAAAGTAATATAATATACAAAATAAATAATATATATATAAATTCAAATAGATGGCTATATATTACACAACGGATGATATCTCATTAGGTAACTGCTGTATAACTTTATAGGAAAGTTTATGGGGAGTTTCCATAGTATTAAGAAGCTTTGTATTATCTTCCAAATGTTCGTTGTTATCTTTTAGGCAAACGCTATGATTCGTATTTATCTTTTTATTTATATCATCTTTTGATTTAGAAATGTTAGAATTATTTATTTCAAATACACTGTCTGACTTCATATCAATGTTTGCTTTAATGGCATTAGAACAATCAACGTTCATTGTTTTTAAATTGTTTGTAAATCTTGTGTTGTTTGGTATAGAGTTATGTCTTATAAGCGAACTAATATCTAGAAAGTAAATGTTTTAAATATTTTTTATAAATACATTTATATATCTTATTTTATAGTAAAATATTTTTTCTATAAAATAAAAGTAATAGGAACATACCAAGGTTACTTGAATTTCCTGATGCAATAGAGCCAAGACGTTCACCAAACTTCTTTTTATTTCGTAATTTCAACCAAATTATAGCCGTTGCAGACAGTATTATAAATAATAAACATGACAACGTAACAACAATAGCTAAAGTTGTGTTATCGTTCATTGTTAAGTCTAAAAAAAGCTTTATGTTAAATTTTTAAATATTTTTTTATTTACTGGTAATTAATAAACAGTGGGGTAAAAAAAAATAAAAAATCTATTTAAGTGATTATATGGTCCTCAAAAATAGCACAGAATGCACATTAAAAAAAAAAAAGTTATCAAAAAAAAGTAGTATCAACATATTTAACATGCATTTTTTTTTAAATCCAGGTCACCTTTTAAAAACTGATACATTTGATATAATGATTTTTAAATTGGTATTTGGAGAACTTTAAAAAAAATTGACAACAATAAAAAAACATTGCAAGACAATTTCGGTAATAACCTTTTATTAAGAGTATCTAAGAAATAATAATGCTACTTAGAAATTTAAAAAAACCTTATGTGTGACCAAAGCTAATTCTTGTTTAAAAGCAAACCATTTGCTACTTTTTTTTCCTCAAATATCTTTAAATTCTGAATGACTCTTCTATGCACCTGATAAGCTCTCAAATTTAGTAGTATAAAATACCTTATTATGTTAATATAAGTTGTTTTCTTACGGGTCCCAATATATTAATATATTTTTTATAAAGTATGTTTCAAAACATTTTATACATGTATTTTTCTTTTAGGTATCCCAAGAAAACTTAACGGTCTTGTCGCAGAGCACCGCGGAAGAGCATTAAATTAGAAAGATCGCGTCTCCTTCCTTACTGATGGCGCAAAGTGTGCCTAGAGCTCACATTGAAACCATGGATCTCTTGCCTCTAAAGCAAGCGCTCTAACAACTGCGCAACGGCCGCTCAATATGGTTAACCAATATTGTACTTATAGGTTTATAAAATAGTATAATATATGTATATTTTACTGATATAATTAAAAAGTTAAAAGCTATATTTTACTTTAATAGATTTATAACTATATTAACCTGGACATTTATATTCACAGCATTTTCCTGGAATTTCTTTATAATTAGGACATTTAGGCTTCGGACAAACTACAGATATGCAATGATCTTGGGTTCCGTTAACACATAGACATTCCAAACACGCAGAAGATAGTGGCGTAAAATATTCACCGTGATCTACTTTTTTAGCCGCAATATCCAAGCATGATTTAAATCCTAGAAAAATTGATTCCAAACATGACTATCGAACATGTTACTGTTTTAGATATTAGATATTTATCATATTAGAAAAAAAAATGATCCTACTGTTTATTTCAGTCAAAATCTGAATAAGATGGATTAGTGAATAATTATTTTATTTAATATTATTAGAGTTTAACAATAAATATAAATAAACCAAAGGTGTTTAACAAAAATATAACCATGTCAATAATCTAAGTTACTTAGATATATAAAACAAGTATAATGGTTATTCAGTCACTTGTTTGATTGTTATTCTTTTCTGCTTGTTGTTAATTTAAAATAAAATTAACATCGTGAACATTTTTTTCCAAATATAAAAAAAGATTTAAACATGTCTACCTGATTTATTACTTGAAGAATTGACAAGCAGCTTTGCGTTACTCATTGCATTTAAATGACTAAAAAAAAAACTCTACAAGTTATATACAATGTCAAAAAAAAAGCCTGCGATTATTCTTTGTTTTATGAGAGAAAGGTCAAAAGACAATCAAGAAAAGGTATGTAATATTTTTGGGAACAGACGTCTACCAATTTAATCTCATCGTATTAATTTGAAATATATCAATTTATTTTTGCACGATTTTTCTCAAGTTAAACAAAGCTATACGCGCAGCATTCATTTTAAAGTAATCAAAGTGTAGAGCAAATAAAATGTAATGCAAAAGATTAAATATGTTTTTTGTTGTTGTACAATAAACTAAAAAGTTCAGAAAAAAACTTAACCTTTCTTGATACAAATGAATATTTTGGTTCATTCAAAAATGATTTTTGGCTATAATAACAAATTTATTTTATTTTTTTAAACTTTTTTTATAACTACTGGACGGAATTCTATTCACATCCTTGTATTTATTATTAAGGAAAACGAACTATACATAATTCGTTTAAAACGGAAAGTAGTTTTAACGCACTTATTATAACTGACGCTCTTTCAATGTTATGCTGTGAGCCGCTAAGAAAACCGCATCTTTCAAAACAAATGAACTACTCAAAACGAATTGGATATCCCTAATAAATGATGCGACTGAGCCTTACATACACACATTTAAAAAACAGGAACAAAACGTAAGTGTGCAAAATAAACTGTTGGCGACAAAACCGGCGTTCTACTAATAATACAGACGGTTCGATTTCCTGCTAAAGTCCTCCTACGCAGTGAATTTAAAATAATAATTTTTTTTTAAAGGAAAAATCCTTTTTAATAATCGTTGATAATAAGCTAACTTTATTAAAACTTGGTATTAACCTTATAAGTAACACACAACTGAAAGCAAGTTTTTTTTTAATTAACAAAAAAAAAAAATTTTTTTTGAGAGAGAAAACATCATAATTTTTTTTTTTTATCCATAATGATTGAAAATGTGTGATTAGCAAAACTTCAATACCCAAATAAATTTTAAACAGAGTTTCCTGAGCATACTTCACTCTGCTTGACGGTGGGATTTTTTGTGTTTCAATTTCTTTCACAAAGTACTGAAAATTCAAGGGTCAAAAGAAAGTCTTGTATAAAAAAGTCCTGAAAATGTTATTTAATTAAGTTTAATTAGTTTTTTTGTGTATTTCAACGTTTAAAATATAACTTAATGTTTGATGATGTTGTTAAGGATAAACGTTTTATTATCATCTACTAAATTGCAACTAGATCAAATTTCATATTATTTTTTAGATTAAAATTTTCAATATTGCAGGATTCCTACAGCAAAAAAATTGGTATTATGGTTAATACCAATTTTTCGGTATTAACCATAATACCAATAATTTTATTTTTTTCAAAGACTTTCTTATTTTCAGTTGTGTACCTAAAAATATTGTGTAAACGTTAAACTGCATTATAATAATTTTATTAATTACTCTTAACACCCGTGTGAGTTAGTGTTTGTGTGTATATGTGTGAGTGTGTGGATGTGCATGTGTGTAACAACAAAAAAAAGAACTACAACAACATTTAAAGGTATATTCATTTACCTTTTAGTCCTAAGTATATTATAATAATAATTCTTTAAAGAATACTTATTTAGCTTACTTCTTTTTCATATATAAAAATCGGAATTTAAAAAAAAGAAAAGTAATAAAAAATAGTAGAGACCAGTAAAGAGTATAGAGTATAATTTAGTAACAAATTTAATAATTCAATAACTTTGTATACAACTGATGTTAGTTGATTATATAAATTATTAAACTATAATAACAATTTTACATGCAGCCATATACATTGCCCTTTAAACATGCAGCCATATACATTGCCCCTTAAACATGCAGCCAAATACATTACCCCTTAAACAGTATTAAATATACAATATACAAATATAATACAAATAAACAGTCTCTGCTGAAAAATAGGAGAAGATTATAGCAAAATAATAACAATAATAATATTAATAATTATGTAAAAAATTTTTTTACTAAAGTAAACATAAAGAATAAAATTGAATATTCAATTTAAATAATTTATTCCATTTTGCAATTTGCGTTCAATTAGGCAGAGCACTAAGGTAGAGCATTAAATGACTAAACTTTAATTTCCTAATAGCAGATTTTTCCAATCGCCGTTTCTGAGTCAAAATTTTGAAGAGTTCAAAAATAAAAATAAATTCAGCTATTAAAATCAACTTACTCGATTTACGCAATGTTTTGTAAAAGAAATAAACACAAAAATACATGCATAACTTTTTTTTAAATTTAGATTTTTAAGTTGTATTGATTACCTTTAATACGTTTGAAAAAGTTACATTGAAATTTGGATTTTAAAACGAAAACATTATAGAGAAAGAAAACTCATTTTATTCTTCCTTTTCAAGTACTTTGGATATATTTCCAATTAAATCTTGTTTACAAAGACTAGTTAAGCATAAAGAAATGAAACTACTTTAACGTAGAAAAGATTTTTTTTGAATTCGAATTTTCTTCGACAGGTAGATGACATTGCACTGTATTCATTCAAAATTAATAAGAATAAAAAAAGGAAAAACTCATCGAAGCAAGAACATGTAAAAATTATTGTCAAAATAAAATTTGAAAAGCGTATTTTAATAAATAAAGCATAAAAATTCATTCATTATTCTCTACGGAATTAAAACAACAATTTTTCACCATTGAAACAACATTCTGAATAGAATTGAAATATCATCCGGCGTCTTTTAAAAGATTTTTGGAACGTTTTATATTTTAAAAGAAACATCATGCGCTAAAAAAGCTATTTTATAATTAACACAATAGATTCATTAATAAAAAGAGCAACTGTTTCTTTATAGTTTTGTTAGTTTCATTTTATTTTATTATGTCATTAAGCTTATTAATGCATATATATATATATATATATATATATATATATATATATATATATATATATATATATATATATATATATATATATATTCATATATATATATATATATATATATATATATATATATATATATATATATATATATATATATATATATATATATATATACATATATATATATATACATATATATATATACATTATATTTTAAAATTTTGATTTTTAAAAACATTTAACTGAAACGTCATCTTAAATCTTTTACGTACCTCTTATTAACGGAGTAGCTATTTTAGGCAATTATAGCACGAAATTTTGTTTAATTAGTATCTTTCGGAATTTCTACTTTTAATGTTTTTTTGCGTTGCTTTTAATAGTTCTACTTTTTCTTAAACCTGATAAAAATAACAGTTAGTATTTGTTTCTCGTTTCAACTTCCGCCATTAAAACAATCAAACTTCTCTTCGTCGATAATAATTCTTTTTTACAACAATAGTCAATATATAGTATAATAGTAACAATTATACTTAGAAATATATAAAATAAAGCTGACACAAATACACGCATTATGTATTTAAATATATTATAATATTATTTAATTTTTTTGACATAAAATGTTATAGAGTCATTCCTATTTAATGTAATATTAAATACGTTCTTTATTAAAAAAAAAAATAGACCATCATTCTAGAAATTTGGATCCTCAAAAGAACTGTCCATTTTGACTTTAAAAAAATCCTTATGCTTGCTCTTGAAATACAAAAAAACAGTCTTTATCTATACACATAAAAGACAAATGTGTTGCTGCAAAAAAATTTATTGTTTATTTTAAACTCTTCACATTTGAAATCAATACATTTTAAAAATGAAATTGCGTTAATGATTTCCATTTGATCGAATAGTTCAATGAGTTGGTTTTTGGCATTTGCCATTTCTTAGAAAGGTGTTTCAACTTAAATAACAACCATTGCCTGCCGGATGCATGCATGTATACATGCATGTATACATGCATGTATACATGCATGTATGTATGAATGTGTGTATGTATGTATGTATGTATGTATGTATGTATGTATGTATGTATGTATGTATGTATGTATGTATGTATGTATGTATGTATGTATGTATGTATGTATGTATGTATGTATGTATGTATGTATGTATGTATGTATTTGTATATGTATGTTTGTGTGTGTGGGTATATTTTTTGCAATTGTTTTTAATTCTTTAAAATCAAGTTGTAACTCTTTATACACAAAAAAAGTATATAACTAAATAATATTGACAAATACTTTATTACTTTAGTTTCTTTACCTGTATCTGTATAAGTCCTTGAATAAAATATACGTCCTTCAGTTTAAATATATATATACTTTTCTATACCATAGCACTTAGCTAGCTACGACTTTAAAAAAATACTTTAATTTGAATCAACGGAATTATTCATGGAAACAATATTTAAGCTCAGACAAACTTGAATATAAGAAAGGATATCCGAATGTTTTCACCGTAGATGACGATGAATTATTTACATGTAAATCAGTATAATATTTAACGAACACGTTCGTGAGCTTCAATTAATTTTGCTATTAAAATAGCGAAATTAAACAGTTTTGCTTTTGTAATTACTTAACTAGTAATTACTTTTGCTTTTATAATAGCAAAACGGCTTATAAAATTGTAGATGAAATATTTTTCAAAAAAATGTTTAAAAGTAGTTTATTTTAGTAATTGCTCTTATATTTAAAAAATGAATCAATAGATATATTAACAAAAATTATATTAAAAATAACTAATAAAGAAAATCCCTCGTTTAATTAAAAAAGTAATCGTATTTCCTTTTTTAAAAAAAGTCATTAAAATAAGATTTCTTGTTGGCAAGGGGATACTTTTATTGATGAATGGATACATAATACTTAATCTCTTAAGGATAACTTTTTCGAAAGGTTTTAAAAAGCGGACATCCGTTAAGTTACTTTTGTGGGTTTAAAATATATCTTAAAAATGTAAAAGAAAATTTTAATGGAATCCTTTTTTTAAACATTATTATTTAGCAAGTTATAGCTACTCGATACAAGTTAGAACTTTATCAATCTTTCAATAAACATCAACACCTTTAAAAGTCGCTATTTTATTAGCGTCACAAAAATGCATCTATCTGACAGCCGTCATAAAACATTTTTGTTTTTCTATTTAAAATTTAAGAAAATAAAGTAAAAAGTCTTAGCTATATTGAATGTACAGATTTCTACGGTTGTCAAGATATAAAAACTTAAACACAGGGTAGACATTTAAACTATCTGGATATGTTTTGACGATAACAAAACATATATCATATAAATAATTAAATGGCATATATTTTTTGAAATTTATTAAATAGTAGCGCAAGTGTTAATTTGCACAAATGCAACAATACCGCCCTGAAAAAAGTTATGTTCTTTTTTAGTTTTTAAAGGCAATAAAATATAATTAAAAACAAAAAGACTTGTGATGAAAAAGTGCTACGTAGCAGTAAGAGTATAAATATTGTAAATCCTCCATCTCCATGTAAAATTCTGCAGTTAAGTAAACCAGACTCTCTAAAAGTAGCAAAAAATATTATTATTAATAAATCAGGTGACCATTGTAGCATTACAAATTATCGTCCTATTTCAGTTCTCCCAGTGTTGCCTAAATGCACTGCCCGACCTCTTTATTGATAATACAATATTAAAAAGGGAAAAATATATAGTTTAAGATGTTTTCTGCCGGCAAACAGTTGTGAAATATAAATTTAATTTCCATAATCTTAGGCTAGTGTATCAATTTCACGAAGAATAATAAAGGTGGAACTGCCAGTTTGAAACTTTCGTAAAGAATTTTAATTTTCGTAAAATTAGTTTTATTTTGGAATGTATATACTTTTATGCTTATTAACTATTAATATTGTTTATTATTTATTTTATTAATTTTTATTGTTTTTTCAAAACTATTTTTAAATTAGGCTAACAAAAAAAATTATTACAGCTGAATTGCTTTACTTCATACAACGTCGACTACTAATTTTCAAAATTTTTTGCCGGCAGATACCGTTTGGGAAAAATAAATGACACAAGGTCCATGGCTCAGACATCTACAATCCTGGTCATCTCGTAGAGGTCGTATGCAAAATCAGAAAGATGTTTTTTTTTGTATTTTTTGTTTATATCTTTTTTTTTTTATCTGGTTTTAAGGTGCTCTATCAAGATCTAACAGTCTTGTCACAGACCACCACGGAAGGGCATTTAACTAATTTTACTTATGTAGCAAATATGGTCAGAACTAGCAAATAACTTCGGACCTCTCAATTTTGAAGCAAGCTTCTTTAACCACTGTTTTCGCCTGTATAAGAAGCTCACTAAAAAAAGATAACTTTCGAAAACGTCTACCGGCAAAAACTAAAAAATTTTCCAAATAATAATTGTAGATTAAATATTAAAAAAAATGTGCTCACATGATTTTAAAGTTTAAAGTTTACTTGGTAGCCATTTTTAAACATTAAATGAACTTGCCTACTCCTAATTTATAAAAAATTAATCTGATTTCAGGGATTTATATAAACGATAAAAGAACATAAACTAGATACTGATTTTATTATTGAAAAGTGAGGCCATCTCAAAAGTTATTTTATACATTTTAAATGAATATTAGTTAAGCAAAAATTATTTTATACATTTTAAATGAATATTAATTAAGCAGCCGTGGCGCAGTGGTAGCACACTTGCCTTAAAAACGTAAGCCGTGGTTCAAACCCCGCCTCTGGGAAAGTTTTGCGACATCGGTTGGGAAGGAGGCGTGAACTTCTCATTAAATGCTCTTCCGCGGTGCTCTGTGATAAGACCGTAAGGACTTCTTGGGGCGCCTAAAATCAACATTAAAAAAATATATATATATATTTTTTTATTCCATACATTATGCTATTTTATTTATTTATTTTTTTTTTTTCAGTTCTCTTACTTTAAAAATGAGGCTTGGTGTCATTTAAACTATGTTTTCCTAAAATTCTAAAAATAAATAACAAAAAATAATGAAAATAAAATCAATTTAAGGGAGAGTGGGGTATTGGCGAACGCGGGTTAACTCCAAACATGGTTAAAACGGTATGATAGAAAAAGTTAGTTGACAAAAAGTTAATTTCTTTTTGCCTGCTGAGAGGTGGTCCCATATACAGTTCCAGAGGTGTAGTAGTGTAGTAAAGCTGCGCTCGTTGTCCCCAATAAATTGATCCTAACTTTTTCTGATAACTAAATGTAGTTTTTTGCTTGAAAAACATTCCTATTGTAGCTACTATGAAACCACTCCTTTTGTTATCGTTGTTGCATAGTACCATTATCAAGGAGTTTTAAACTCGGATTATATTTTGGGTATGTCAATACAACCTTATTAGATTAATTGTATTTTATTTGTTTGTGTCCGCGGGGAAATAATGAGCTATTATAGTGGGGTAATTTCGAAGGTCTAAAGTGTCATTGAAAACACACGGACGTCAGGTGGCCAGAACTTTAATGTTTCTTACTTTTGTCACATTAAAAATGTAAATTTTTAGAGATAAATTGTTAGATACATAATTTTATTTAATAGAATGAAAACCAGAGAATGTTGAAGAAAAAAACATTTTACAATTATTACTTCGCCAATGAGAAATATTTTAGAGCAAAAGAATAAAATAGAAAAACTATTTGTATTGTGATATAATCATCGTTTGAGGTCATTCAAAAGGGATAAGTTTATTTAAGTTATTATTAATTTGATCTCTAAAAGTAGGAGAGTATGTTGACGTTATTTTAAGTTGAATAGGTGCAGTTTGACAGCTACTTTAAAGAGATTTGATGACTTCATGTTTTTTATTTCTTCTTTAAGGATTGAATTCCATAGCCACGGTCCTCGAGATAAGATAGAGAAGTCAGTTATTTTAAGTAAAGTCTTCGGAATGTTAAAGTTTTGAAAAGAGTACTTTGTTGGGTATTTGTAATCAATGGTGGAAAATTGATTTTCAAAGTATTTTGATAGTAAATTGTTTTGCGATTGAAACATAAATAATACATTTTGGAGAAGGTTCAGTTCATAAACATTTAGAGCTCCAATTTCCCTGAATAATGGTTTTGCATGGGTATATCTGTTAACACTGCATACAATTTGACGCGCTTGCTTTTGTTTTACATATATTTTTTTTAGTACTGAAGAGTATGTGCTTGCTAAAAAGATATTGCAATAGTTGATATAACTGTGAATGAATGAATAATATATATTTATTAAGCAAGTTTTTTTAAAAAGGTGTTTTATTTTATGCATAATGCCGATTGAATTGGAGATTTTATTTTCTATGTGTAAAATATGATTCTTCCAACTAAGATTTTCTTGAAAAATTATTCCCAGGATTTTTATGGAATGGTTTTAATTACATTAATGATGTTGATCATAAGCTGGGGAAGCTGAAGTGGTAAATTATATGAGTTAGATGACTTGTGAAATAAAAGGTATTTCGTTTTGAGGATGTTTAAGGAAATTTTATTAGCTTTGAAACACTCGTTTAAGTTTTGCAGCTAGTGATTAATTGTAGAAAATATTGTTTTTATATTTGAGTGAGTAAAGAAAATATTCGTATCATCTACAAAAAGAGTAAAATTAAGAATGTTTGAAGTTAAGTAAATGTTGTTCACATAAATTAAAAATAGTAAAGGTCCAAAAATGGAGCTTTGGGGTACACCACAACTTATTGTTTGTAACCGTGTACATGTTGAGTTGTACGACACTCCTTGTTTCCTGTTATTTAAGTAATTTCTGAACCATTTTAGATTCTTTTTTGTTACTCCATATATCTTTAGCTTGTGTAGGAGGATCTCATGGTCAACTGTATCGATGCCGGGGTTAAGTATTGATTTAATTTAAAAATTAAATATTAACTTCAAAGAGTATTGTTGTATTAAGTTGCGATGGAAAGTTGATCTGCCCATGGAAGACGGGATTATGTGTTACTATTGTAAAACCTGGAATTAAAGAAGCAATTAAAGACCAATCCTTTTTTGTATAAATGGTTTAGAGAACACATGTTTGTTTGTTTTTAACTTTTTTTATTCAACTTTTCTTTTCTTTTTTTTTGCTGAAAACGGATAAAAAATGTAAGCGTGGTACTACCATGAACGCGGTAGCGACTGAACTCAGAAATTCCCGCCTATAAAATTAAAAGTTTTTATATTTTTCAAACTTGAAAAAAAAATCCTAAGAATAAAATTTCTTCACAAAAGAAAATAAAAAAATTAAGTAAAAAAGAGTTTCGAAGTTACTTGTGTAGCGTTTTTATTGACAAAAATATCCCCTGCAATAAATACAACGATAATGTCAATAAAGTGTCATGAAGTGTTTGTTTGCTGTAATGATAGGATTTACTAAATAAACATTTTATAAATAATGAATGATCTTATCTAAAATAACAAGCTAAAAGGGATATTTAAGAGAGTATTCCATCAAGTACTTTAATTATATAGAAATTAATAAAAAAGTTTTATTTTTAAAGTTGTATATA